AAATTTCCTGTCTGTTAAGGTCTTCCAGTATGATGCCTAAGGGAAAGCAATTACTTTGGATGAAATCCTATTCCCAGGGCCAAAACCCAAGATTTATATGTAGATCCATACAAGACAATGTGCCTCCTGGCTTTCTTAATAATTTTCACGCTTCCTTTAATAATCCACATTTCTGTACATGAGTCTGTGAGGGCAACTGGGTTTGGGAAGTTTTCCTGCTCTTTAGATTTTTGCCATGGTATACATTCCCTATTTGGGAAAATCACTATTGAGAACTCTTGAACAAATGTTCCAAATGGCAGCTAATTTGGCTGAATTAGCTTTGACTCAAGAGAGACAATAGTGTCAATAGCTTGTCCAAACCGCATTCTGGTTTTTCTGAATTGCAGCTCATGTTCAAACCTAAGTTAGGCTCCCCATGATTGGACAGAAAAAAGAATAAATCTGACTGCCTTATTACCACTGTCTCTGCTGGTGGACAAGGGAGTTGGTACAGACATAGTCTGACTGTTTCATTCCTAGTAAATTTTAGGAACCCTAATTCATCCCCACACTTCAAATCCAAATGTTCAACTATATGTAATGAAATATTGCCATCCATCAATTGAGAAGGAGATAATAAGCTTACACCATTAATTTTTTTCAGAATTCTATACCACACAGATGCAGAAATAGATGTAGGAGAGAAGCTCAGACATATTTATCCTGTACACAAACTGGAAGGATTGAAAAATGGGTCCACATATGAAACTGGCATTTTCTTCATTATGACATCATTGCCATTGAATTAGCAATAGAAATTGGATCAAGTTCACATACACTGAGTCAAAGAAAAGATGTCTCTTTCTTTCTCTTTTCAGACACTGAGGACTGTTTCAAATGTGCAGAAGATCAGTATCCAGGCAGGGAGCAAGACAGATGCATCCCAAAAGTGATCAGCTTTCTTTCTTATGAGGAGCCCTTGGGGAAAAGTTTGGCTTCAGTTGCTCTTTCTTTGTCCCTGATCACTGTCTTGGTGCTGCAGACCTTCATTAAGCACAGAGACACCCCCATCGTCAAGGCCAACAACCGAGGCCTCACCTACACCCTGCTCGTCTCTCTCCTGCTCTGCTTCCTCTCTTCTCTTCTCTTCCTCGGAAAGCCCGGCAAGCTGACCTGCCTTCTCCAACAGCCCATGTTTGGCATGATCTTCTCCTTGGCTGTTTCTTGTATGTTGGCCAAAACCATCACGGTGGTGGTGGCCTTCATGGCCACCAAGCCAGGCTCGAGCATGAGGAAGTGGGTGGGGAAAAGACTGGCCACCTCCATTGTGCTTTCTTGTTGCCTCGTTCAAGCTGCCATTTGCATCGTGTGGGTTGGAAACTTTCCCCCATTCCCGGATTTGGACACGAACTCTGTCATTGGGGAAATTACTGTACGATGCAATGCTGGGTCTGTCCTCATGTTCTGTCTTGTTCTGGGCTACATGGGCCTTCTCTCCCTCATCTGCTTCCTGGTGGCTTTCTTTGCCAGGAAGTTGCCTGACAGTTTCAATGAAGCCAAGTTCATCACCTTCAGCATGCTGATGTTTTGCAGTGTTTGGCTCTCCTTTGTTCCAACATACATGAGCACAAAAGGGAAATACATTGTAGCTGTGGAGATCTTCTCTATCTTAGCCTCCAGTGCTGGATTGTTAGGCTGTATCTTTTCCCCAAAATGTTACCTTATTCTCTTCAAGCCTGAGATGAACAGCAAGGAGCAGCTGATAAGGAGAAAGTGAAAAATCATCCCCCTCCCCCTTATCTATTTCATGTGAAAGTCTCCACATTCTCAGGGTTCTTCCGGATCAAGAATTAGTCTGTTTGGAGTTCCAGTTCTGAAAACCTGCTCTCTGAAGTCAAGGTGCAGTCCTGAAACTCTGTAGCCAGCATGGAAAGAACTATGATAGTGGCCTCAAATAGGGGAAATGGGGCGGGGTGTCCCAGGATAGGAATGAGATTTTTTGGGTGTAACATCACATGCCATTCCTTATCACCAAAGCCAAAGTACAGTCCTTACCCTCTGCATCCTGGATGGAAAGAAGTGTAATAATTCCCTCAAACAGGGTATATGCAGAGAGGGGAGGGTCTTCATGGCAGGAACATGACTTGTCTGGATGCAACATTTCATGCCATTCCTTATTGGAACTACAGTTTCTTCTGCTCCCCTCTTACATAGTGTTGAGGAAGATGTGATAAATGCTGCCAGACACAATAGGGATGTAAATTCCCCCACCCTCTGCCCTGCTCCTTTCACAGGATGCACAGAAGCTTCTGAGTCTGCGGGGTGAACTTTCTCTGGAGTTCAGGATGAGAGGGGCGGAGCTGTGAGCATGTTTGCCAGAGAGTGATCTTTTTGTGCAATTCTGTGTCAGAGCTTCCTTGCTTTCTTGGTAGCCTGCCTGCCTGCCTGTCTGGCTATCTGGCAGCCTTCCTTCCTTTTTTCCTTTCCTATGGAAGAGCTGAGAACTTCTTTGCATCTCGGAGGGTTTTCTGACCAGTTGCACAGGTATAAATTCAGGGTGCCAGCTCATCCTGCTTCTCCAAGCATGTTCAGATCAAGGCTGCACATGTAATTTTCACATGCTTTCTGCACTTTGCAATTCTTCCTCAATGTTTAACACTCAATTATTGGCAGACTCTTGTAGAATCAAAGATATCTGGAAAATTAAACATAATATGAATACCCACTTCGTATTCTTTGTTGTTCTGTCCCTCATAACAACCTGTCCTAAATGGATTAATCAGAAGAATAAGTATGCAGTGGGAAAGGTAATTCTGTTCTAGAGGCTCAGGACATTTTATCTTCCTATGAAATTCTCTGCTGAGCCCACACGTTTCTTGGACTTTTGCTTGCTGGGGGTGCTGAATAGTAGGATTTTCTTCCCCAGGCTAGGGAAAGTGAGAACAAAGCTTTCAGGGAAAGGGGAAAGTATCCTTTGGACAATCTTACATAGATCATATGACTTTATGGAATAAACAAACCATAAAAACATCCACTCTTTGCTATCTCAAAAGTTGAAACTAAATGTTAGAAAAATTAAATGCAGGAAAAGACCAAGAGTTTTCCTTGGTAACATTTGCCATAAGTACACCAGAATCTTTTATTTATTTATATATATATATATATATATATATATATATATATATATATATATATAAAATTTTTTATTTAAATTTTAAACTAACACTAACAAAACATCAATCATTAAATACATAGGAAGTACTGGGTCAGCCCCCACTAATATTTTTAACAATCTATAATAATATTCAAATCCATTTGTAATAACTTACAGTAACTTAAAAGCATCTTTAAATCGAACCCAAGTCCTGTTTCTCTAACCAATGATAAAAAGAGTCCCAAGTTTGATAGAAGTCAGTATCTTCTTTCTCCTTCAGTGATAAAGTCAATCTATCGATTTCTGCGCAGTCCAGAATCTTTTTTAGAATCGGTTCATCAGTGGGTAATTTCTCAGATTTCCAGTGTTGAACAAATGCAATGCTCGCCGCAGTGATTACGTGTAACATCAAATACATTTATTGCTTACTAACATCTTCTGGTATAATACCTAATAAGAAAACTTCAGGTTTTTTGTAACATTTCCTCAAGTCATTTATGTATTTAAATCCAGTATTTTTCAGATTGTCACAAGTCCACCACATAAGGTAAAAAGTAACCATTTTATGTTTACATTTCCAACACCCATTTGACATATTTGGAAACAGCTTAGCTAGTCGATTTGGCAACAGGTACCATCTATAAAACATTTTATATAAGTTTTCTTTATACGAAGTTGCTAATGTTACTTTAATATTTCTAGGACACCAGAATCTTTATTCTTACATTTTAACAGACATTAAGAAAGGCAGTCATTTAGGAGAATCATTCAGCAGAACAGTTTCAATAATGTAGCTAGGAAGAAACTGCATGAAAACTGGTAACTACCAGATCATTGACTTTTAGAAGCAAGGGGTGGATCCTTTGGAAGGGATTGTATCCACACCGGAAACCCTACAGGTTAGGATTTGGAGCCCAGCAGGACAGGTTTGCACCCATAGCCTGAGAGCGGGCATCCAGTGATGCAGAGATTCCATGAGCCTCCTAGAATTGCTAA